ATTCTTCTGAAAATTCTTGTGACGGCACCGATAACATAACATCAAAATCTGGCGTTAGAACAACGTTTGAAGAACTTGAAAAAATAAAATCTTTTGATTTTATAATCGATTGAACATAATCTGATTCCAACTCCATATTGATGTTTAAAGAATCCTCCTGATTAATCGCATTAGTTTTCATAGTTAGTGGTCCACTCAAAGAAGAATTGCTATCTATTTAAATAAATCATAAATGTGTAATTATATAAATTTAAAAAACAGTTTAAGTTTATATTAAATAATTATGAATATTAAATTCCTATTGCGAGGTCATCACCAATGTTACATTTTTTGACATACTTTTTGTTGTTTGTTTATTACTGAAATAAATTTTTTTTATTTATTTCTGTAATTAAAATTAACTTTTTATCTCTAAATAAGTAAATAATATAATTAAGTAAGTAAAATACTTTTTGTGATGAATATGAGGTATCAGAAACTCTAAGTCTTGGAAAAAAGTCCACTTGCTATAGTTTCTATTATGACATCGAACAAATTTATCACGAACATTTTTCCATTTTTTTTATAATCTGTAGGAAAAAAATTTTTAACATTAAAATAAATAACTAACTAGAAATAATAAAATAAATTTTTCAATGAAGAGGTTATATATTTAACTTCTTTTGATTTTGATATTCATATATACCCAGACAGCACATAACATTGCGGCAATGTTGCGGCAATATTGCTGGGCAAGTTTCGCAATATTGCCGTGTAACATTACAGCAATGTTGCCACAACATTAAAATGTCCCACCTTGCTCAATATTGCACAGTAAGCTTGCCACAAACTTGATGCTACAGAAAATTCTCGCCGTAGGCCATAAAAATAATTTTTTCTTCAATTAAAAAATAATTATTTAAATAATAATTAAAAAATAGCCATATTTAAATGTTTTAATTTCATTTTTTTATTCTATCTTTAATTTTTTCAATTGAACCATTTGCACAAGATATTTTTATACTAAATAATAGGAAATGCAATTTATGAACATATCCGCTTTTGAAAGGACGTTAAGAAATTAAATGAATAAATGGGACAATAAATGTATAAAATGTTTGAAAATTTATTTCGTGTTGTAGAAATATTTGTACTTTATAAGCTGCTTTTTTTCATAAATATTTTAAGCATAAAAGATTAAACAAATAAAGTTAAAAAAGATAAAAATATTTTTTTTTGGTAAAAAAATTTATAAAATTTTTAATTTCAAAAAAAAAATTTTACATCATTCGAAAGACACTCTGAGGATTTTTTTATTTTAATATTATCATGTTATATATTTATTAAATGTAGATATTAATGTTTCCTGAATCCGGATTATCATAAACGTTGCTGGTTTTTGTAATTGGTTTTACAATGAAGAGGATTTCATTGGTGTTAGTCTCAACAATATTATTTACTTTGCCAAATGTACCATCTTTTAATAAAATAGTACTGTCCTTAGGTGTCGTACAATAAATCGTCAATTCCGTGTGCTGAAATACTTTATATTGTTTTTTAAAATTTAAACAATTTTTAGTTAATGGCCCTCTAGTGTGTAAATTATGTAAAGCGTACGGTTTTTCCATCGGGAAACTCTCCATTTTTTCACGTTCGGAATACCGACGAGCGATTTGCTCCAAAGGTTTGTGACCTTTTCTTATCATTCTCTTAATGGTAGACATCTCATTCTCAAATTTGAAAGCGCTAAATTTATCAAGAGATCCGTAAATTTTCACGTCTGCACAGATGTGCAATAGATCATGCACATTATGTGAAACATATTGTTTTCCATAAATTCGTTGGAATCCAAGAACAAATTTCTTTAACATTTCGTGACATTTATTTATATTTTCTAAAACTTTAACGAGATCCTCACTTACCAGAATTGACGTAGCAGTATGTGGTAATAAAAAATTTCATACATTTCGGAATTTAAAACATTTTTTAATGCTACTGGACCTGTATATAAAAGAAATGTTCTCAGTTCGGTGGCCTTCCAATGAGTAAACTCTAGCAGTGAACGAGGCTTTCTATTAAATTCCATTGGCGTGCTGTTTTTCAAAATTAACAATGTTTTCGAAATTTTAGTGACATCTGATGCTTTCAATTTTGGACCCATGACCCAAAGACGAATAAGCTTCTTCATAACTCCCAATAAGATGAGGTGCATATAATCAAGTGGAATTGATGTTACACAGCCGAATTTCGGAACTTTTTTCAGAATGGTTTCCTTTCCAGAATCGTTATATGCATTTTGCGAAAATCCTTCGTTGGTTTCCATTTTAAAAGGCCCAATCCCAGGAAAGCAAACTGTCCCTTTTCGTTTCTTTCCAGTGCGTTTATTTTTTCGACTAATATATTCATCCTTTATAAGACATTTTGTATAACTATTATATCTATTGTGCCCTTTGAGATACAGAACGAAAGATTTTGCGGGAACGTCGCAAATTATAGCAGAACAAGTAATCGAGATCTGGCTATTTTCCAAGCCATTTTTAATTAAAGAAATTAATTCGTCAACAAACTCTTTCATAAACTCATTTGCATCAGTTGGTTTCTTCTTACCATAGAATGCGGAAACTAAATAAACTTTTTTTGTGTTTTTTTCTGAACATGAAATTATCCACAGTCCTTCCGTTCCAGAATGTAAAATTGGCAAAACATCGATATTAAATGTCAAGTTAAGTTCTTTTACTTCCTTATTTTCAGCAGAATAATCGCGAAGAATAGCCTTTACTGCTCTTTCCAAACCGAAATGATGAAATTCTCCTCCTCCAAATTTAGAAATTTTAACGTTCCTTATTGTTCCCATTATCGTCCTGCCATCTAATGGTATGTGAAATGGCAAGAATGGTTTTAATATAAGAAGTAAAGCTGCTAATGCCATTAAAGTTATGTTGAACTTTAACACCCATTGATGAAGCGACTCTCTCAGTAGATTTCCTTGTTGCGTGTTCTTCTCATCGTTCTGCCTGTCTTTTCCTTCATCTACATCTAACTCGAGCGATTCGTCATCCTCAAAATCGTATGAAAATGAATCGTCAGAGAAACAATCATCATCGTAAACGTCATCAAATATTGAGCTTCCGCAGCTTTCGTCAAAATCTAATGTCTGACGATCATCCTCATTCCTATTTTAAAAAAATTTTTTAATTAATTTAAAAATTAAATTCCTAATTAATTTAATATTTTGTATTTTCAAACACCAGGAAAGTAACTTCGTGCGCTAAGTAATGCAAAATAAAAACGGCTTTTATCAAAAATCAATATAAATATTTTTTTATCATAAAAGGAATTATTTTATAAACATAACACAAATTTCATTTCATATTTCGTAAAGATGATTGTTTCTCGAAGAAGAAATAGTAAAACTTTTTATAAAATTTTTATTATTGGTTGTAAAACAAAATTTTAAAGCAGAGAAGTACAGAAAACTGTTATTACTATTGTAATTAATAGAAAATATTTGTAACAATCTTGGAATTACTCTGAAAAGAAGAACAATTATTGGTACTTGCTAAGTGTGACAAACCATAATATTTAATTAATTAATTTTTTTCTACTATTGTCACAAATTATGGATTTAAAATATTTTGTTTATAGTTTCACAAAAAAGCAGATTTTAGCAAACATTATTTGCTGTAGATTATAGATTTAATGTAAGTAAAGTACTCAAATCTGCTTTTTAAATCCAGAAAGAAAAATATTTTAATGATTAATAAGCATTTTCAGAAAGTATTAATATTAATTATTATTATTCTTAGAAAATGTTGCAGTTTTTTATAAAATTAATAGTCTACTAATTGGAAATCGGTAAAATATAGTAAAATGACACGATTATTAATTTAACTAAAATTAAATTAATTAAAGTTATTTAATTATTTAAAGTTATTTATTGATTTACTGATTGGAGTATGGGACTTCCAAAATAAAAGTTCCAAATTAAAAGTTCCAGAGAAAAATTTCACAAAAGTTCCATGAGTCAAAATTTCCAAAGTCCAAAAAGTTAAAAATTGGAAAATTTTCTATTATTTTTAGTCAACATTTTCAAAGTTAAAAAAGTTCAAAGTTCTTATTTCTTTATTAAGAATCGTATTGTGAAAAAAAATACATTGGAAAAAAATACTTTGGCAAAATAATAGTTTAGGAAAAAAGTACTTTGGGAAAATAATAATTTTGGAAGTTTTGGCATTGGAACTTTTATTTTAAAAGTCTTGACTCCAAACAGATTTACTAAATCCATCACTGGATGTACATTTAGAAATTTTTGTTCAAATTAATAACTAATTAAAATTATTTACATATAATATATAAACATAGAAAAACGATAAAATTACGAAATTTTTTTGAATTAAACAGACATAAAATTTTTATATAATATTTTTAATTGCGAAATATTACGTAATACGGAGATTTTTTCTCACATTGCGGTTACATTTGCTCGCCGACTAATCTGTTTCATTTCAGCCTTAAAATAAAGTTTGATACTTTTATTACCAAATTTATTAAATTTGTTAACAGATAAATAAAAAGTTGATTTAAAATTTGAAAAAAATAAGTCCGTGAGCAAATGCATTGGAAATTAGTGAAATAACTCTGTTTTACGTGAGTTAAATTGATTTTGGTATTATTTAAAATATAAATATATTTCGTATGGAAATATTTTTTTTTATATATTATTGAAAATAATATTTAATTTCATATCTTAAAAGTGTAAAAGTTTTTAAATTCAGAACCAATTGGTTGTTCTCAATCACGAAGAAACATAAAAAGTCAAGCAATTAATAATAATTTCAAAAATTCAAAAATAAAAAAAAATAAAAAAAATCCATTTTTTCCTTTTTCTCTAACTGAATTTGTATTACGCAATATGAAAAATGTTTTAAAATAATTTTTCACTACTTTAAAACTGAAATGTTTAATAATTCGTAATATTTATTGATAAGAATTATGAAAAAAAACTTAGAGAAAATAGGCAATGAAAAATAATAAATATTACGAGAAAATTACTAATTTTAATTTTTCGAAAATTATACTTAACTCTACACTAATTTATCATTTTTAGCAGCAAAAAAAAGTAACAAAAATTTACAGACTCTTGAAGTTTTAGTATTATGTCTTATAAGTTACTTTAAAAGTGTTTTTACTATCTTATCTTAAGAAGCTGTTGACATCTTCATCGGGGCACGATTCTCTGGCGGAAAAATTCTTCCCCATCTCAAAATTGCGATAACCTATATCACTAGACCATTCCTCATTATTTACTTCAGGAACAAATTCACCGCATTCACGACCACTTGTTGAAATACTAGGAGCAGATGTAGAAGCCTCACTATTTTCATCCATTAACTCTTGCCAATCATCTTCCAATTGTTTTTTAAGAATTAGATTTTCTTGTTTTGACATGTCATTAGTGTTAAATGCAGCAGACTCAGTATCTTCCTCCGTTAACATTTTCCAATAGTCTTCCAATTGTTTCTAAAGAACTTCATCAGCTTCTCTTAACATGTCATTGTCATTAGATGATGCGGCCTCAGTATTATCATCAGCTAATTCGTTCCAGTCATCGTTCAATTGCTTTTCAAGAATTCGATTACCATGTCTTTTTGAATAACCAAAGGCACGTGGTATCCTCCAACGACGCATATTTTTTAAACAATTTTCTGTAAATATAATTGAAATTAAAAGAAAGCTAAACAGGAGGAACAAATAAAATTTTAACCTGTTTTACCATTTACATTTTCGACATGACAGAAGTATTTAAAAAAATTGTCAAAGTTAAATTTTAAAATAATTACAAACTAATCAAAATTATAAAAAATAATATTATTTAGTTTAAATTTATTTCAAGGTTACTAACCACGTGGAAAATATAAACTATTTCTATAGGTTATATCGGACAGATATTTCTTAAAAAATTATTAAAGAAATAAATTAAGCAATTTTAATTCAAATTAAAAAATAAAAAAACATTTTTTTAAGTATTTAAAGACATTGTTTTTAAAGCATAATACAAATAACACACAATGAAACTCACATAAGGTTATGTTTATAAGGATGTTATGTGAATCAATTCTAAATCTCTTATTATTATAGAATATCTTACCTAGACTAAAATGTTGTCATAAGCACAGAACACATTATAAAAAAAAATCTCACAATATTACAAAACTTAAATAAGATTTTTTCATTTATGCAAAAAATATTTTCAATTGACAATTGACGACAAATCGACACACTGGATGATGAATCGACGACTGCAAAGTTGTATCATGCTGAAAACATCAGTCGTAAACACGAAATAGATTTGAACCCATACCGCGCAAAAATATTAATTATCAGTTTCCATTTATTATTGATAATAACAAAATATATTTTCAATTACAAAATTTTTTTAAGCTTATTAATAATATATTAATGATATTGGAAAAATAACAACTTGTAAATTTTAAAAGATATAATAATTGTATTATAATCGGCAATAAGCGCATGCGCTAGAATTAAGTCTGACAATTAACAAGTTATTTTCCCAATATCTTTTATATATTGTTACTGAAATTTAAAAAAAATTTGTAATTAATAATATATTTTTATATTATCAATAATAAATGGAAACTGATAATTATTTATTATTTTTGCGCGGGATGCTTGCAGGAGCACATGCGCAATGTCTATGGACAAACGGAATATTTCGCGTTAACGACGTATGTTTTCAGCATGATAGATACAACTTTGCAGTGATCGATTCATCATCCAGTGTGTCAATTTATCGTCAATTGTCAGAAATATTTGTTCCATAAATGAAAAATCTCTTTTAAATTGGTTATACTTTGAGATCTGTATTTTTCTACTGTTCCATGTTCATAACATTTTAGTCTAGGTAAGATATTATACAATAATAAAAGATTTAGAACTGATTCACATAACTTCTTTATAAACATAGGTCTATGTTTTCAATGTATTTTACTTGTATTATGTTTAAAAAACAAAGTCTTTAATACTTAAAAAAATGTTTTTTTTCTTTTTTAATTTGAATTGAAATTGCTTTATTTTTTTAAATAATTTTTTAATAAATATCTGTCAGATATAACCTATAGAAATAGTTGATATTCTCCACGTGGTTAAATTCTCATGTGCTGTTAAATTCTCAACATTGAAATAAATTTAAACTAAATAATATTGTTTTTTCATAAAAAAAACAAATTTTAATAAAATTATGAATAACATAAAATAATTTCAAAATTAAATGAATATTAAAATTTTTCTTGACACACTACTTCTTCACGTAGAAAATGAAAATGTTGAAGGGTTAAAATATCATTTGTTCATCCTCGATCCATAGCATTGTTAGTATTTCAAATTTATTTTTTCAATTTAATTTGCAGCAAATTGTTGAAAGTACATTTTGATCAATATGGATGAGATCGTCAATCCAGTACCACAAGCTTATGTTGTCGTTGAATTCCCAAATGGATATGAAGTGATAAGAGTGGAATGGAGTATTTTTGAAAATAATGTCATGGTTGCATGTTATTTTCCACCAATAAGTCAGAGAAAGGAGTTACTGGCTTTCTTGAATGGAGATTATCAAGAGATTGATAAGGCCACATGGATCGACGAGGATGGCAAACCGTTCACGATAAAAAAGGTGTGTAATTACGCAAGTAAGTGTTTTAAATTTTAATTTCATACATCCTTGAAAACATAAATTTAAAATAGTTTAATTATTATTGTTACATTATTTAATATACATTTCTTTTATTACTCATTTTCTTTAAAACTTAGTTAATATCAAAACGCAGTTTGTTTTATTTACAACAAATTGTAATGTTCACACAACATGCATTTAAAAATATTAATATTTACAAATTAAACTTTATAAAATTTAATAAATATTTAAAAAGTAAATGAATTACATCATCTACTATAGTTTTAAATTAATTATTATAAAAAATTGTTTTTTTAATACATATCTCAACGTCAAAATGAAAAAGCGCTTGTTCAGTCAATAAAAGAATAATACGAATTTATCTTAATATGTTTCTACAGAAAAACCAATGCAATAATTTTGAACAATATTTCATGTTGATTGAAATATTGTCAACTATGTAAAATTTTTAAATTGTCTGTTTGTCTTAAATCGTAGTTAAATAATTTTATATTTTTCTTAATTTTAAAAATTAATAGCTTAATTTATTTTCTCAAGAATTATTTACGATGCTATTTTTTTAATTTTGTTAAAACTCATTTTAATTTAAAAATATTGGACTATTAACAAAAACTTTTTAATTTTATGCGCATAATATTATATTAGAACAATTCACTTTTTTAAAAAAATTTAAAGTAGAAAATTGCAAAGGATCTTTCAATAAATAAATTGAGCTAGAATTCAATAAAATTATATTAATTATATATTATATATATTTTTCTAATTTCTAAAATAAAAATGTACAAAGGGGATTTTTTAATTAATAATTTATTTTTAAGTTTCTATAATATAAAAAATATTTAGTAAAATCTAATTTTAACGTTATACACAATTAAGAAAAATCTTTCATTTAATGTAAAACTAACACAAATATAACCTTAAAATGATTTGCTTCTTAGGTCCCTTTCTTCGATGCATCACATAAAATTGTTTAATATAAATTTAATAAAATCAAAATAATTGGATAATTATTATATTAATAATTTTTATAAAAAAGCAATTATATTTATTTAAATATATAGATATGGTTTTTTAAAAATATCTTTTTGATTAACTTATGTCATTGATTAACTCTGAAAAGGACAATTTAGTAATAATTAAAAGAAATTTCAATTTTTCCTGTTGTGATTTTATAGAGATAAATTTTTAAAAATATTAATATAAATATTAATGAATATAAATATTAGTATATATTAATAAACAATTACAAAAATTGATATGCAATTGGCAGAGAATTTAAAAAGAGAGATTTAAAAGTGAAATTACCTGTAATAGTGTTCGCGAAATACAAGTTTTAAGAAGCCATTTTTTGAATTTTTTTTAAACTGTCCTTTTAATCATAGTTGTTGAAAATGGTAGTACATTTTTTTTAGCAACTCTTGATAACGCAATGAGGAAACTGGAGCTCAATATCATGATGTCTGACGTTGAGAGTGACGATGCCATCAATTTTGAAAAAGCAAAAAAATCACGTCACTCTCGCTGCATCGCTGGCAAATTTCAAAATCAGCCATTAAAAAGTAAAGAAAACATTAGGTTTTCTAAAAAAGCAATCCCTGGACCTTCTAAAATTATTGATCATGAGGAAGATGACCTAACAGGGGAGATTGTCAATGAGGAAGTTGTTAATTTGCATTCTCAATCTGGAGATAAAAGGAGGCAAATGATACGAGAAACTGATGAAGAAGAGATTGATTCCGAGTCAGATTCAGAACTTGGGGAGCTAAGGACCCAAGTTCACGAAGGATCCCCTTCACATAGTGAAGAAAATGCTCAAAATCAAGCTGAAGACAGTAAAACATATTCTCTTGGTGAGTATATAAGGATCTTAAACATTTTTTCACCTTCTCTTTATTCAATTTCGTTTATTTTCACATCCAATTAGTGAATATCATAATTAAAGTTTTTTACCCTTGGTCGTTTCTCATAAATTTTATATTTTTTCATATTTAAAATCTTTATAATTTAATTTCTTTTTTTTCATACTCCTAAATATTCTTTGTTATTCCGATATATAGCGATTTTTAGAAAATTTAATTTTTCCATATTATCATCGTTAATCTTTTAATTTATTTAAAATTTTTAACGTATCTTGTAATTTTTTCCATTTCCATATAATTTTTAAATTTTTCTAATTTTTATTAAATTTTTTAATTTCTAATAATATTTAATGTTTTAAATTTGTTTGCAGATATCTTAATCATATTAAGAAATGTCTAATAGTTGAAGACTTGAGAAAATGATAAAATTTTTATTACGTAAAATGTTTCATATCTTTGAAATTTTTTAATTAATTGCTTCTGATTTTTATAAATAGTCTTGATGCTGGCAAAAATTAACCGAGTGGAATTGAGATTGAAATCTCACGAGCGAAAGGGACAAGAAAACAGTCCTCCCCAAAGGTTTTCATTTTTGGATCCAGATGACGATTTAAAACTGTTTCCTGCAAAGAACCTTGCTGATATGAACAAGATCAATGATAAACTTGCATCGAGAAGTTTCTTTATGAAAGTTGTAAGTGTAAAAATATAATTTACTCATATTGTAAATTCTTAATGAAATATTTAATGTTTTAGTGAATATTTTTTCAAAATACTTTTCGCCTGGTATAATTTCCATTTTAAAAAATTATTAATTAGAAGAATATTCATCTTATATATTCTTTGTCACGATTATAATCGTAAAAGTATAATTTGTTATATATCTAGAAACTTCATTGAATTAAATTTTATCATTAAAAAAATTTTAAAACTTTTTATTAGGCTAAAGCATTGGTTGATTTGGGACCCTCAAATACCGAGAGTATGACAGTGTCAGATATGCTTCATCATCTTCTAACTTATGAAATGGGTCAAGCGTTCACCTATAAATGAAGGTTAAATCTGAAACCAGCCTTCTCCAAACTCAAGTTTAACACCTTAGTTATTTGTAAGAATTATTACATACACTACCGTCCGAAATTGTGCGAACTCTGCTTTTTCAACAACTATAAAACTGTTCAAATCTTCAAAAAAATTAAAACTAAAATTTTTTCCTCTTTATTTTATTAAAGTTAATAAAATTCTGAAAGAAATGACACCTTGACAAAGAGAATATGTTCATTTTTCAATTAGATATCTAAGAAAAACCCAATTTTCAATGTTTTTACTATTTTTTTTATTTCTCTGACAAAAATTAATATTTTTAAACATTCTTAGGCTCATTGAAATCGTATTTTGTTATGCAATTCAAATTATATAAAACAATTCATGTACACATTCTTCCCTAGCGTATGCAAACCGTGAAAGTTGGCTCAGAAAATGTCAAAAAATTTAAATTTAATTCTACAATAAAATATAATGTTTGAAAATCAAGTAAATATATCATTCTAAACTTCTCTGATTTATGTAAGTAAATTGAAGATTTATACATTTTACTGATCATTTTTTGTCATATAAATATTAATCACAATTTTTTGACATTTTATGAGCCAACTTTCAGGGTTTGCATACGCTAGCGAAGAATGTGTATATGAATTGTTTTATATAATTTGAATTGCATAACAAAATACGATTTCAATGAGCCTAAGAACGTTTAAAAATATTAATTTTTGCCAGAGAAATAAAAAAAATAGTAAAAACATTGAAAATTGGGTTTTTCTTAGATATCTAATTGAAAAATTAACATATTCTCTTTGTCAAGGTGTCATTTCTTTCAGAATTTTATTAACTTTAATAAAATAAAGAGGAAAAAATTTTAGTTTTAATATTTTTGAAGATTTAAACAGTTTTATAGTTGTTGAAAAAGCAGAGTTCGCACAATTTCGGACGGTAGTGTACACATCTCAAATTTTTATTTTTTTAACAATATTTAAATCTCACAATTTTTTATTAAACTTCCTCTTTTAGATGCAATTGGCGAATTGTATAAGAATAAAAATGATATAAAGAAAACAAAGGAATACATTGGATTATGGCTGACGCAATGCAAACACAGTGAAAAACGTGAAAAGTAAATATAGGAACAAGCTAAAATTTTATTTTGCAATTTTTTATTTTGTATTTTTCACGCTAAAATGGAAAACTGTGGTATTTTTGCTTCGGGATCTTAACCGTAAAACATTTGATATATCTGACAAGCCATTTCGGCAAGTTGAAGTTATATTTTTTTCTTTTTTTTTGAACTGATTGACGTGTCAATTTTCCTTAATTTTTTAATGTTCTCTTATGTTTTTAAAGTTTCACAATTTCTTTCTACTTTATTAAACAATGAATTATGCCATTGCCTTTCTTATTAAGAAACGAAAAAATCCACTACATAAAAGCTGTTTTTAATAAAATAAAAACCTTACACACACGTTTCAAATCTGAGGTGCAAAACCACCCCAGTTTTCCGTTACAGGGGTTGTAAAATCATGTATCCGTTCTAGGATGAAATAATTGATTTATATATTTTGTTTAACATAGAGTGGCCAAAGAAAAACAACGAAGATCTGCAGAAGATGCTCTTCTACATTTTACAGAAGACTAAGGTTACGTTCAAGGATTTCAAACCTACATTTTTGGTTGGCAGTGCTATTTCAAGCAGCCTTGAAATGTTAATAGTTGTTTACTGTAAGTATAAATTGGATACATCTAAGTAAACTTTTCTTTGAATTTTTTTTCTATTTATAAAGGGTAGAGATCCTCGCTCATTTATTGTTTAAAAAAATACTCATTTGAATAAGGTATATTTCTAAAATGTTAAAACAAAATTATAACCGTTAAAACGTTAACATATTTAAATATTTTCAGATTTTTACTAGAAAGACAAAATGGGACGCAGCAGCAATGCTGTTTCCTTATGGTCGCATTGTTTCAAGTAAGAATATTCAAAAACAAATATAAAAATATAATTTAACGTATATTGCTTCTAACTTGTAAAACAAACGATAACTTTGGTAGTTTCAAAATTTTAATAAATAAATTATAGTTATTGTTGCAATCGTAAGACTAAAATACTATAATTTTTTTCAGATTTACTGTGACCACTAAAACTTTGATTTTAAAAAGAGGTTTAAACAGAGGTTAAAAAAATTCAATTTTTAAATACATTTTTCAAAAAAAAAGAAAAAATTATTTTTATGGCCTAAAGCGAGAATTTTCTGTAGCATCAAGTTTGCAGCTAGCTCACTATTCGACCTTACATCAATCTTACTGCAAGCTTACGATGCAAACTTGCTGAGCAAGCTTGTGGTGCAACCTTGCCATAAGCTTGTGGCTAGCTTACTGTGCAATATTGAGCAAGGTGGGACATTTTAATGTTGTGGCAACATTGCTGTAATGTTACAAGGAAATATTGCCGCAATGTTATGTGCTGTCTGGGTAAGTATTTATTTTTCACGTATTCTTGATTTGACCTTCGATAATGATAAGCATTTTTTTCATTTTTGACTGAAAAAGTAACAGTACTGTATTTTCTTGACTGCAAAAAAATTAATTTAACCTTTTCATTTATCATACTTTTTAAAAATTCACTACTTTAATTATCATACAGTAATTTTATTAATTTAATTAAACTTAAAACATATTTCAAGAAAACAATAACTGAACGTACCTTTAAAATGTAATTTACGCGTTTCTATTATTTTACCTAAATTATCCCACATTTCATTTCTTTCTTTATCACCAGATATTCTCTCACTAGAACAAATTCAACACATAAACTAGATAAGTAGCGAAGCAATAAACACAAAATGGTAGGTGTAGTTTGATTTTCACATAATATGGAAAGAGTAATCTGAAGTATGATATTTAATTAAGGCAGGAAGTATATAGTTTTGTAGATTAGTAAATTAAATTTAAACCATTCAATTTACAATCTCTTCAGATGTAACATTTTGATTATTTGAAGACTATACTCATGTGATTGTATCCTAAGCCATAAACAATAAAGTGTAAATACATATGATGACACACTGTAGTGTTTAATTTTATCTGACCACGCGATTATTTAATAGTGAAAAAAATTCGTGAATAAGCTGTTGTGACGAAAAGCATAAGATCTAAAAATAACTTTTCGTTTCCAGGCACATTCTATGTGACTAAAAACTAGTTTTCTTCCCCACCTATCCCTTAGGAAGTTCGCTTGGCATTGTCTAGGACAAGGTTCCCTTTTTTAGTACCAATTTTACCTTTATTGTGGAAACACATTTCTAAAACTACGGTTTTAGAAATAGTTGTTTAAAGTACTCGTACATCCATATATAATATTAAGATTACGATTTTTATATTGTAAACGGTGTAAACAAAAACTAATATTAAAATAAACTATTCACAAATTGTTTCACAATAATAATAATAAATAATTATTAAAAACCCGTCACAAAATTGACGATCCTGCCAGGATACGTGTTGAGATTGTTCTTTTTATAAGTTAAAAGTTATACAAACTCTGGAAACCGTATCTTGATACGAACTAGCAATATATTAGCTTCGAATTAAAAAGTGATGTAAATAAAAGTGACGGAAGTTTTACTCTTATACACGTATAAGAATAAAACACAACGAAAAAGAAAACAACTATAATTTCTTTTATTTTTTTGAGTAAAATTAGTAGCTGAATTAAGTAGGCTCTGTACTACGTAAACTCAAAAACTCTCAAAATTATTTAAAGGGCTCGTCGATCGAGACGGTAAGACCTTAGGAACGTAAAACAGTACGGTAAATCCCAAAAGAAGAAGCAAGGAGAAACTCTGGTGGATCACTGGAATACAACCGGACTACAGCCAAGCAGTACGACTCTTATTTTAATCAAACAACTAAATAAAGGCGAGTATTTTAATTGTAAAGGCATAGAATTATAAATTCTATGTCCGTTGGTATACTCCTGGTGTTCCAGAGCAGTGCCACCGTCAATAAATTCATCGAAGTACTCTGAATTAACCTTGTGTGTACTCTTTGTAGAAGATTGCACAAGTGAGGAGTTTAAAATTTAAATTTTACGGGATCGAGGTACACACACCCGCACTCGTATATGATAATTAGAAATTTACACACACATATATATATATATACATACATTTGTAACCCTGGCTCTTAATTCTTATTTAAAATATTTGATAGGGGAAGATTCAGACTTTTATCCTCCTTCCCTTAATGGTGTAATTAGACGACATAGTAGTATTCGGTTCTACAATAGAAGAGCACAACAAAAATGTTGTAACACTTTTTGAAAGACTACGATATACAGGGCTTAAATTA